AGCTGCTGATCAGTTTCAGCAGCAGCTGACTTGGGGACACCTGGGGTTCTTAAGTTGAATCTGGCATCCAGATTCAGCTGCTGTTGAAACTGATCAGTTTCAGCAGCGGCTGAATCTGGACGCCAGTTCCGACTTACATACAGATTCAACTTAAGAACAAACCTACAGTCCCTATCTTGTACGTAACCCGGGGACTGCCTGTAATTTACGCAGTTCAGTCCTCACACTTTTTACTGTATTTTCCCTGTGCGATGTCAGGTATTGCATCCAGATTCAGCTGCTGTTGAAACTGATCAGTTTCAGCAGCGGCTGAATCTGGACGCCAGTTCCGACTTACATACAGATTCAACTTAAGAACAAACCTACAGTCCCTATCTTGTACGTAACCCGGGGACTGCCTGTAATTTACGCAGTTCAGTCCTCACACTTTTTACTGTATTTTCCCTGTGCGATGTCAGGTATTTCTGCTAGTACTAAATATTCTACACTTTGTTTCATGTTGCAGTTGAATGCAGTCTATTTTAATGTCCATTAAAAAAAATGATGATAGTCAATGGTTCTGATTCAGTTACTCATTTATGCAGTATTAAAATCTAAGTAGCTTATGCAGCTACACCAATAGCTTATGCAGATGACTGGTGTAATTACTGTTGTTTTAGCTCATGTATATAAAGGTATGGCTCCAATGAGCTATTTAAATATTTGTGCTCAGTGTTTATGATTCTGTCTCTTTAGAATAGTGAGCATTGTTTACTTCACTGTGATGTTCATTTCTTTCCTTTCTCAGACTCCAGGTAAATTTAAGTGGTCTATTGATCAACTTGCTCTAATAAATCCTGTGGAAATTGACTCTGAAGATATTCGGCGTCAGGCAATGTATTTAAGTCATGCCAGGTAACTTACTTTCTGTTTCATGCGGTAACTAATTGATATTTGAATATAGCAGAAAACCATTTTTACATGCATAGTTGTTTTATTCATTTTCATATAAATAGTAGATAATGAATAGTATCTTGTATTAAACTGCTGTCTGTATAAGACTTAGCCGTACTCTCTGCCTCTACTTTTATCTTGAATATTGTATTGTTAGCTATTATACCTCAGTATACAGATATGAAAAGTAAGTGAAGCTGCTTTTTCATTCTTCTATGTTCAAATGTCCATAGATCTGTTACAATGGTATTTTAGCCAATTGGCCCCTTAGGGGTCAAACCAAACCTGTCAGTCACTAGCAGGAGGGAAACTGTTCTCAACTTTCCCTTTTCCAATTCCACTCTCTCTCTTCCTCAAAATTCCTCCCAGTTTTTATTGCTTCCTGAGCATCTGGAGGCTCAGGTATACCACTGGGAGAACATTTCAAATTTTAGTTCAGATTTTCATACAGTTTAGCTTAAATTCAATTCCTAGTTCTGGTCCAGTGCTGTGTTTGCCTTTTAAGCAACTTGTCCCCTCACTCCACTTTCTCATCAGAGGCTTTTGCAATGTCTGATGCGCTCTGAAGATTTCAGGGACCAAGTAAAGCCAGAAACAAAAGAGTAGTTTACCTTTCTTGTTTCACTCTAGGCTACCTCAATATTACATACTACAAGTATTGGCATATGGTGTGCATATAGCTACACCCTTGGGTGGAAAGTGGGCTGCATCTCTACTGTGGCGTGGAGTTACACAGGTCAATAAAAGGCTCTCGCTGAGGGAGGCAGCAGAGAAGGACTTCAGCAGCTTGCTGCTTATAGAAGCCTTTTTCTGGCAAAGAGAGACTCCTCCAAAGCCTTTTTCCGCAGAGGGAAATACATCAGCACTGGAGAACTTGGTGCATCCTTTCTCTACTGCCACTCTCATCAGAGCCATTCCTCCTTAGAAGAGTTTTTTCCTATATTGTTGAAAATAGCAGTGTAGCAGGGGAGGCAACTCATGGGTAAATAGAGAGCACGTAGAGGATGCACTCAAATGCATACCCACTCCTTTCAGGTGTGTCTTTATTCTCAGGACTCGACAAATATACTCGCCCGTGGTGAGTAGATTTTACCAGCTGGCGAGTGCAGGGGCAGACTGGCCCAATGAGCCGTTGTAACGGGCTGGTGGAAGCCTGCACTACAGGCGGCACAGCCCCATCTGATCCGCCGGCCAGTGGAGGAGCAGAGCGCCGCTGGGAAGTGGAAAGTGCGGTTATTCTTGCCACTGGGCTGCCTGTGTGCAGCTCTGGCGCGAGGAGGTGGGGCGGGATGCCAGGACGCTGGCGTGACATGGCCCTGCTGATTTTTAAAGTGCTGTTGTCTTCCTGGACTTGGCTCCTGATTCAGGCTCCCACCAACAGCTCAGGTCACCTCTGCCCCAGTCAGAAGGCCAGGCTGGCTCTCCTTCCCTGCTCCCCCTGATCTCTGCCCCCCATTCCCTGCACTGCCCCTAGACCCCGATCCCTCTGCCCTTCCCGTTCCCCGTGCTACCCCCATAGTCTCCCACTGTTGCTTGCACCCCCCTGGCTCTGTGCTGTCCCTGCACCCTGCTCCCCCTGTGGGTCGGGAGTGAAGGGTGCTTGTCCATAGGGAGGGGCTGGTCAGGACAGGGAAAAGGCTGCTGTGACCAAGCAGCGAGTGAAAGTGGAAGTTCACTTGAAGCATCTTTCCCTTTATAGAGAAAAACGAATGAAAATGCTATTTGCTATTTATAGAGCTAAAATGCGGGGACAAAAACGAAAACAAACAAACAAAAAACCATTGCAAAATGCAAACCTATGTGAAAGACAACAAAAAAGGGGAGGGGGCAAAAAATGTTTTGCTTGGGGCAGCAAAAAACCTAGAGCTGATCCTGGGGGAGGGGAAGGGGCTGGGTTGGGCTGTGGGGAGTAGAGAGGAGGAGGGGAGGGGAACAATATGGGGAAGGGGCTTGTGCTGAGGGGAGGGGAGGGAAGAAGAGGAAGTCAGGAGAAGAAGAAGAAAGGGGAAGGCACCAAGGGACAGGGGTGCAGCAGAGACAAATGCCAGGGGGCCAAGTGCAGACAATGAGGAAAAGGGCAGGAGGGGAGGTGTCAGTGGGAGGGGGGACAGGGTGATGCTGGAAGAGGAGAGGGTAAGGGCACTGGGGGCTAGAGGGGGAGGGGGAGGTACTGGGAGAAGGCTTGGGAGAAGGGGTGGGTATGAGGAAGGCGGGGATGGAGCAAGTCATCTGTGAGGGCACGGGCATGAGAGGAATGGGGACAGAGCATGGTGAGGGGGTGGGCATTAGGGAAAAAGAGGGCAAAGGGGGCAGGGGCAGTTAGGGAAGGGGGAGGCACAAGGAGGGTGCAGGTGCCAAGGGATTCTGGGGGTGAAGCAGAAGGGCAGACACCTGCAGGGGAAGGACCAGCACCAGAGGAGAGATACGAGGGAGGTGTTAGGAGAGGGGATGAGGAGGGGTAGCTCATGTGATCAGAGTGGAGCTACTGGAGGAGTGGGAACGGGGGAGAGAAGGGCTGGTGGAGGAGGGCAGGTCTCAGGAAGGCTGAGGGCAGTGAGAAGGGCAGGAGTCAGGACAGCAGAGGGTGAGGTTGGGGGGCAGCAGGCACCAGGGGAGTTAATGGAATGAGGGGAAGAGACATGGCAGCAGAGAGAAAAGGTAGAGGTTTATAAGATATTTATTAATAGCTTATTAGTAATTACTGTTCTTATTCTTACTAGGAATTTGTGCCATTAAAAAACACTTTTTGTAGGGGTGGGTGGTGAGTCCCTTTTTTGTCTGGTGAGTAGGGTTTTCCATAATTTGTCGACCCCCTAAAACTTGCCTATGCTGTGCCTCATCAGCTACACTGCAATTTGTACCTGTTCTAAGGGGACTATGCAGGTATATAATTTGTGTCAAAAGAAGCATGTGGCATAGACATACCCTTATAGCAGTCAGGAGCTTATCCTCGTCTTCATTTTATAAGGCTAATAGTAGTGATGTAAAAGGTTAATTGGGTAACCCATTGGTTGGCCAGCTGTTCCAGGTCGAAGCAGCCTTGATTGCATCTGACTGGATGCTGGTTGGGGTGTGGCAGCAGGTGCAAGGCCCCAACTGGGTTGGGGGTGAGGCCCCGGCTGAATCAAGCCTGGCCTGATCCCCCATCACTTCAGGCCCTATTACCTTTCAAACCACCCCTTTCACAGTTTAATTTGTCCCTCATTCCCCCAGGGCTGAGTAGGTCTGCTGTGAAAAGTGATGTTTGTATGTATGTTAATCAGACATGTAAAAATGCATTTAAAAATGTAACTGCTAAAAAGACATAGTGGTTACATATGCTGTGGGCTCTGCAGTATAAATAAGCTTTATACTGCAGAGTCTGCAGTGAAGTCCCCAGGGGTGGAGCCAGCAACTCCTGGTGACCCCCTCCCCACCCAGGGAGGAGGCTTGGTTGTGACAGCAAAACTGGCTCTGTGAGAGTGGAGCCTGCAAGGACAGTTGCTGGGGAGCGTTTGCTGCAGGTTCTATAGCTGGTTCACTGGAAGCAAGGCCAACAAGGGGTCTTGTCAGCCCCACTCCTGGGGAGGAGGCTTTGCCCCGGGGAGGCTTCACTACAGTTTCTGTAGCCAGCTTTCCAGGAGCTGGGCTGGCAGGCTGGGGAGGAAGGGGTGGCCAGGTCCCCAAAGACAGTGGTTGCTCTGGTGGGGCCCATGGGACTGGAGCAGCTCCCTGCCTGGAGCGGGAGGCGGGGAACTGCTCCAGCCCGTCAGTTAACTGGTACGCACCACTTCCAGTTAACCTTTAACATCCCTAGTGTTAGTATCGCTTCTCATTGCCTTTTAGCTAGTTAGTAAGTGTGCTGCTGTGAAAAGTGATAGCGACTTAAAATACCATTTTTCACAGAAGTATAGTTACTAATTAGAAGTCTTTAAAAAAAACAACAACGGAAAAGTAAAAGAAACAACAAAATGCAATGATGTGCAGAGCATCTTATTTGTGTGTCAATTCTATTGAAGTCCAGTAAAGAATAGAGACAACTATGTTATTTTTATTATTGAGTACCCAAAAAAGCCCTACATAAATGACAATATTTAGACAGGTCTATATGCATATTTATTTGTTTTTCCTAAAAGTTAATTATATATTTTAGGAAAAATTGTCAGAGCAGCCACCAGCAAGAGTTGGTGGTCATACTGTCAGATTACCAAAAAAAAAATTGTCCTGAGAATTTATGGCCAATAGGCTTCTCTCTAAAGAAGAAGTAGTATTCACATTTTTTTCATGCTTAGAATCAGATATTCTTGCAAATCAATTCCCAGCTATCTCAGTGATACAGTTGGGAGCTATTAAAAACTGAGACTATTTCAGAATCATCAGATAAGTCTGGTTAGCAGGAGCCAGATTTTGGACTCTATAGAAAGAATTATAGTTTATATGGCAAGCAGAATCTATACAGAAAGTACATCAGAAGAAAATGCCTATAGTAAGTAGGTATGTAAAATCCCATTTAAAATGTTAATTGGTTAAACTAATTAAATACATTGTCAAGTATCAGAGGGGTAGCCGTGTTAGTCTGAATCTGCAAAAGCGGCGAGGAGTCCTGTGGCATCTTATAGACTAACTGACGAAGTAGGTCTTTACCCACGAAAGCTTATGCTCCTACACTTCAGTTAGTCTATAAGGTGCCACAGGACTCCTCCCCGCTTAAATACATCTGTCACTTATCGAAATACAATATGGTCCTTTCTAAATATATAAATTGTGGTATGAAGAAGTTATTCACATATAACTTCTACGTAAATATTTTCATGCCTCCTAATGACTGATATAATGAAACTTTATCAGTTGCAATGAGCCAAAAAGGAAACTACCACTTGTACAGCTTTGCACAAATGTTTGAATATTCGTGAGAAATATTATTTGATCAATGGGAAATACCATTTAATATAACCGTGTTATAGGCTGTATAAAATCTTAATTTAGATATTTGATATGATTGAGTTGGGTGGGATAATATGGGTTGGCAAGTCACTTGAAAAGGGAACTTTTCATTGAGCGAGAAGAAGATAATATCAAATGAACCTATACAAGTCCCTTCATTTGTTTTCCGTTGTGGTTTTATTTTTTTGTGTTTAAAGAGTTTTCTTCCACATGTCCAATTTTGTATCCTACTTGATCCGAGAGTTTCTCTTTAAGTCTATTTTATAGTAATTTTAAAAGTTGGTTATAGAAGCATTCAAAATCAGACTCATTGCAGAGATTAGTTGGAAAGATGCTGTTTTATGAGAGAGACAAAATTTATTGAAATAGAGATATACAGAAGATTAGGAAATAAATCATTTACTGTGTAAAATGTTATTACAAAATTGCTGTTGTGGGATCTCCCTCTTTAAAGTGGCTAATTGTTTGAGTACAATGCACACTTACTAATTCTGAATACAAAGGAATTGCACACGACATATTAAGAATATAATAATACTGTACTATATTATACATGGAGTACATTGTGATTTATTTTAAAGGGCAGCTTATCATAATCTTTTATAAAAATGGTACTTTTTCTTTACTTGAACCATCAAATGTAAGGGCATTGATAATTTTTTTCATTTGTATTGTTTAGAATAGATAAAGAGATGGAAGACAAAAGACAAAAAGCCATTGAAGAGGTAATTAAAATTGCTATTGCTTTTATATATTGTGCATACTGGTAAATTAACAGTGAATTAAAAGTAATTTTTCAACATTGTTCAATAACTTTACAAAGCAACTTTATAAAAGATGGCACAGGTCTTCACCAACAGCATGTGGTGTTGTAATGGTTCGTATAAGATCATGCAATTTACTGCTTACCCATTTTAGTTTCAGAATAAGAATCCTTATTTGCAGCTTTTAGTTGCTTTCCTCCATCCTGCAATTTCAGACCAAAGAAACAGACTTGGGGACTTTGAGGTGATCTTCAATAACTTTGACCTGAAATATGGCTTCAGTCTTTCAGAGCACTTGACAAAAATATCACCAGTAAGCTCTCCAAAGATGTCCTGGATAAATGACTGTTTTGAAAATACCCAGGAGTTGGATCTCCATGTTTCTAAGTTCTGTTTGCAGTTATCATGGTGCCTGTCATTCTTTGCTTTTTCACTGAAGTGTTTGTCTTATTGGAGAGTTGGCTGGCTCTGTTACTTCTAATCTGAATAGCTTTTTTAAAAAGAAAAATTAAACAGCCATGTGTTCAGTAACTGTCGCTGGCTGAGGGGCAACTCCGTGCCACAAATGCCATGGGTCCAAAAATGTAACCTAAGGGAATTTCTACCAGACTCTCACCTTAGAGATATGGAGGAGAGTACTACAAATTAGTGGGGAGTTACATAGACTAGTACTTTTTCCACTGATGAACGAGTGCTGATTGTAGGAATAGTGGAATAGTTAGTGTAGATCAGTGATCACCAACCAGTTGGTCACAATCGACTGGTTGATGCTGGGGACTCTTCCAGTTGATCATGATCTCCAGTGATGCAGTAGCACTGCCAGTAAGGCAGGTTCTTGAATCCCTGCTTCCCCTAACTTCATGGTGCTCCTGTAAGCAGCCAGCATAGCACGGGGGGGTGGCGGGTAAGGAGTCTTAGTGTGTCGTTCCTGCCATGTGCCTCCCTCCCACAGGGGTGTGATTGTCCCTTCCAGGAGAGACCTGAGGCTGGAGCAGGCAGGAAGCCTTTCTTAGCCTTGCTGTGCTGCCTGGTGGGAGCCTGCATCTCAAACTGCCTCCTGTACTCCAAACCTCCTCCTGTATCTGAAGCCCCCACTGAGAGTCAGTTCCTCAAGCCTCCTCCTGCATCCAACTCCTGTCCTAGCCCTGATTCTTCTCCCAGAGCCAGCACCCCACAACTTCTGCTGCATCCCTACACTTTGCCCCAGACCAGAATCTCGTTCTGCACACAAAGTCCCTCCCTGGGGGGGAGTGTGGAAAGTTTCCTCTGCCCTGCCAGGCACTCCTGACAGGGCTGGAGGAGGCTTTGCATGCTCTACTGCCCCCAGGCCAATCAGGACCTGGGGGAGGGGGGAACGCACAAGTTTACTCTGCTCTGTCCCCACCCTGCGAGAGCGTGCAGCGCTTAAAAGCAGGATGGGAGAAGTTTTAACATTCTCCCCAGTTGGCCTGGGGTGGGGGGGGGGAGCATGCAAAGCCTCACCTTGCCTAGAGTGTATGGTGTTTTTAAGCACCGTGCAGGGTGGAGACAGAGTGAGGAAAATTGATACACTCCCCCGCCCCCAGGCCCTGATTGGCCTGGGAGCGTGGGAAGTCTCCTCCCAGCCAGGGGCATTGGCACCTAAAGGAAAGGGGGGGCAGGTGGGCAAAGGCACTTCTCGTCCCCCAGATCAATCATAGTGTGGGAGTGGGGAACCTGGAGTGTCCCCATCCCCACTCCTTCTGGTGTGGCCTGAGGCCACTTCAGAAATATTTGAATTGGCCCCTGACTTAGATATTACCCAAAAGAGCATGCTGTGCCACTCCTTTAGAATCTAAAGGTTATTAATGAAAGAAAGAAAAGGTTTAGAGTAAAATTGTTAAAAGAAGCAGAATTACATACACCGGCTATGAGGTTCCTGGCTCAGGCTTGTAGCAGTGATGGCATAAACTGCTCTCTTAAAAGTCTCTGGAATACATCTTTTTGTTAGGATGAGTCATCAGTCCTTCCAGGCCCAGTTCATAGCAAAGCTGCTTCTGAAGTGATGAGCTGGAATGAATACAAAATGAAAGAAACTCTAGGGCCCTTTTCATAATCTTGCCCATGTGGAGGGATTTCCATCACTGTGTGAAAGTATCTCCCAAAAAGAGTTTTTCCACACAAGCAAGTCCTCTGTCCATGCCATTGTTAGGCAAGCAGCCATAGTATCCATGCTTGAGTGCAGGTTTACAGCAAAATCCCTCGGATGTGAAACGTGAATTGGCAATACTTAAGGCCCATTGTCAATCAACTAGTCTGATCACTTGACTAGACACCCTTCCACAGTAGGTGGGTGAGGCCTGTTGATATCTCTTAGAACAGTGGTCTCCAACCTTTTTACACCCAAGATCACTTTTTAAATGAGACCAAGCCCTGCCCCTTCCTTGAAGCCCCGCCCCTTCCTTGAAGCCCCACCCTCTCTAGTCTCCTCCTCTCCATCACTTGCTATCCTTATACTGCTGCTTATTTTATTTTTTTTATTCTTCTGTAGGAAGAGGTTTTTCCAACATTTGGCCTGTCTACACTGGACCAAATGTCAGGGAAAAAAACCCTTCTTTTGGAAGCCACCTTATTCCTTGTGGAAAGAGGAATATAGGGGTGACCAAAAGAGCCTGTTTGCTCTTCCACTAAAAAAGCAGAAGAACAATTGCAACCCTGGATGCAGAAGAGTTTTTCTGGGATATCTCCAGAATCCTGAAAAACTCCTGCAGTCTAGCTGGACCCTTGCTGTGTTGAGACAGGATGTGTAGGCTCTGGGGTGGGAATGAGGGATTTGGGTGTGGGAAGGGGTGAGAGGTGCAAGCTCTGGGAGGAAATCTGGATGCAGGAGGAGGTGGAGAAGGGGACACTGGCTCGGGGAAGGGGCTCCAGGCTGGGCAGTGTTGGGATACTAAGCACAGGCTTGTGGATATGAGGGTACAGGAATTTGGGTTGGATTATGTGAGGGGCTCAGGGCAGGGGGTTCCAGTGTTTGATAGGCTCAGATCTAGAGTCTGGGGAAGGGGGGATGCAGGAGTGGTTGTGGCCAGATGGGGGATTGGCCCCAATTGGGGGTTTGTTGGCCAGGCTTCATTTTTAAATAAAATACTATGTTAAACACAAAAAGTTTCTGCATTGTCTTTATTTATGAGAATGGCAGGGAACCTGCCTTAAGTCAGAGGTCACTGACCCATAGAAAAGTAATTTGGGAGCAGGGACACAGTACTGGGGAAGGGTGCTAGTTGGTTCTGGGGCAGGGAACAGGTTGCCAGTGGGGACAGGGGAGAGAGGGTAGGGTGCAGCAGGATACAGGGTGCTGGGGGGGACAGGTTTCTGCAGTAGGAGACAGGGTGCCAGAGGGAACTGGTTTCTGCAGGGGGGGCAGGTTTCTGCAGCAGGGTGGGGGGGCAAGGGAGAGGGAACAGGGGGCCAGGAGGGTGGGGGACAAGTTTGGGGCAGAGAAGAGGGAACAAGGTTGGGGGCAGGGAATTCCCTACCCCAGCCACGGAGGGAAGCCTCCGACCCGCGCTCCCTCCGGACTGACCGCAGAGCAGCCAGGCTGGAGCGAAGAAAAGCGGCTGCCCAGCCAGCTGGCCATGGTGCTCAGCCAGGGTGCCACCAAGCTCCACGTGGGCAGGCGCAGAGGGGAAGCTGCCCAATCAGCTGGAGCACGGTTCAGCCTCCTCTGGGCTGAACGCCACAGCCAGCTGGACAGGCAGCTTCTCCTCTGTGCCAGCCCACATGGAGCTTGGTGCAACCAGGCTGAGCGCCATGGCCAGCTGGCCGGGCAGCTGCTTCTCTTCCCTCCAGCTCGCTGCCCTGCGCTCAGCCCATGGAGGCTGCACCTAGCTCCAGCTGTAAAAGCCTCAGTCAGCTGACTGGGGTGTTTCAGCCCTCCCGACCTCCCAGCTCCCACCATTACTCGCAGCTACTCACCTGTGTTGTTGCTCAGTGAGTAGCTGCTCCTCAAATGAGGAAATCTAATGTAAATGTACTGTTCAGAGAGGGCTCAAGAGCTACTCTTAGAGCCTCTGAGATCTACCGGTAGCTCACAATCTACTGGTTGGTGACCACGGTCTTAGAAGCAAATACTTGAAATGCCAATACGCATAACTTCAGATTTAAAAATCATACAGGCATATGAATGATATAAAAATCAGCAAAGCATCAGCTTTTGACAGACACCTCAGTTGGCCCCTTTTACACACAATTTGGGGCAAGCACACAGCATTCAGTGCAACAGTGTGCTTCATGTTCATATTAAAAATCCAGTAATGTCACAATTTGAGAGAAAGTAGCCCTCCCAATTATTGAGGCAGTAACAGACCCAACAAGAATAAGACTCCTGCAACAGCAGTCCTTTATATCCCAGAAAGTCGGTGGGAAATGCTATGTCCCTTCTATGGGTGCTCAGTTTTTATATTCACATCCAGAACACATTCTAATGGTTACACTAAGAAATGAGATGTCAAGAACTCAAAATGCACAACACCAAAAGAAAGTAAACTAAGATATCTAGATTTAGTTAGTAATAGGTTAATTTTATTAGCTAGCTTGCGATTTGGAATTGAAATTACCAGGTACTGCCAGATATGATTTCTTGAATTAAGAAAGGAATTGGATGTTTTCAGACAAACTTCCTTCAGATATGATGGAAGAATTTTCTTTCTGGTGACTGAAGGTCCATCTGAAAGCTGAACTTGATTCACTAGATGTGGCTTAAGATTCATGGCCATAGCAGTCAGGTTGAACCTCTCTAGATTGGGGCACTCTGGTCCAGCATTACCTTAGTTAGCTGGATGCCCACTTACCATGGGTGTGACCAAATTTCCTGCAGTCCCATAAAGCCAGTTGTCCTGGCTTCAGTGTTCTGTGCTGTTATTTAGCTCTAATTTACCCTTAAATGTCTAAGAACCCAGTAAGCAATGGAAGTGATTGGTAAGGCTGCTATACAATAGTGAGCTCCCATGGTTCAGCAAAGTCTCTGGTTCTGTACCAGTCAAGTCATGAGTGCTGAACTAGAGAGGTTCAATCTTTAGTTACTCTGCATGGATATATGTACAAACCATTCCATTTGTTTTCATTGGAGACCTTCAGAATTACCTAACAAGAGGTAACACTTCTGTAAAGAGCCTTTTCTTTATGTTTATTGCTGAACATTTGTCTCAGTCTTCATCTGGCCTGAGTTAGCTGAGGAACATAAAATTGTTTTCAGGGATCCAGAACTTTCTCTCTCCTATCATCAACTGTTTCAGTTCATTCAGGTACATTCAGTTCATTGAGCGCACAGAGCCTGGGGTCAGATGGAGAAATGCCACGCGGAGCCCGGCTGACCCGGGCTCCACGTGGCATTTCAAAGCAGCAGCGCAGCATGGAGCTCAGGGTCAGCGGGGGACTCTGAGTCCTCCACTGACCCCAGGCTCCATGTGGGTGCTTCTGCTTTGAAATGCACAATAGCCCCCGCTGGGGACTATTATACATTTCAAAGCTGGCACCTGTGTGTAGCCTGGAGCCAGTGGAATACATTTCAAAGGAGGAATGCAGAATACATTTCAAAGGAGGAATGCAGAATACATTTCAAAGGAGGAATGCAGAATACATTTCAAAGGAGGAATGCAGAATACATTTCAAAGGAGGAATGCAGAATACATTTCAAAGGAGGAATGCAGAATACATTTCAAAGGAGGAATGCAGAATACATTTCAAAGGAGGAATGCAGAATACATTTCAAAGGAGGAATGCAGAATACATTTCAAAGGAGGAATGCAGAATACATTTCAAAGGAGGAATGCAGAATACATTTCAAAGGAGGAATGCAGAATACATTTCAAAGGAGGAATGCAGAATACATTTCAAAGGAGGAATGCAGAATACATTTCAAAGGAGGAATGCAGAATACATTTCAAAGGAGGAATGCAGAATACATTTCAAAGGAGGAATGCAGAATACATTTCAAAGGAGGAATGCAGAATACATTTCAAAGGAGGAATGCAGAAGTGCCTATTCACTAAATAGTCGATGGAAATTCCATCGACTACTTGACTAATAGAATATTCGATATTTAACATTGGTAATCTGTACACAGTATTGAAGCTGTGGGCATCCCATGATTTTAGATAGAGGCAAGAAGATATTCTCTGTCTTATTTTCTATCCCTTTTTAAATGATTCCTAACATTCTGTTTGCTTTTTTTATGGCTGCTGCACATTAAGTGGATGTTTTCAGAGAACTATTCACAATGACTCCAAGATCTCTGTTGAGTAGTTGTAGCTAAATTAGTCCCCATCATATCATATGTATAGTTGGGATTACCGTAAATTAGCAAATATAACCCGTGTCCATATATAACAAGCACTCATGTATTACTTGTGTGTTTCTATCGTGTGTAAATATATATATATATA